GGAAAAGGATGGGAAAAGGTGAAGGGTGAAAACAGGCTCTTGACACCATCCTCTTGAGAAACATGGGTTCTTTCCTATTCTCCTGGAATTCTATGGCTCTCTGAGTTGGGTGTTATTAGAAGTCACAAGCTCATGAACTCAGCTCCATTACATTGAAACAGACGTGGTTCGAAGTGTCACAGTGAGCTGTCTATACCGTTGAGCCTGGTAGCTAAAGGAATAACAGAACAAGATGGAAACATTCTATCTACCAGGAAACCACACCGGAAAAACAGATCAGCTTCCAGTTTGCCGACGAAACTTACTGTAAATTTTCTCGAGACTCAAATGAAAGTCTTACAATTTACTTTGCTGCTCACTGCACACAGATTATCCAGGAACAATCTGCAACCCTGAGACCCCCGCCTCAGTCCTCCAAGTAGTTTCCTGTGGGATCAGCAGGTGGGACAAGGACATGACCTGAGGCTGAGCTACTTCAGAGATTCACCATGTACCCAAAACCAGACGAGTGCTGAGCTTATAATTTACTCAACATGGGAGTTCATGCCTTTCCTTTAACCAATGTAAATATTTCAATGTTTCTCAAGTAGGTCTATAAATATACTCTTAGAAAGTTGAAGTTTTTGTAAGATTTTCTGTTTTAATTTCTATGAGAGTCTTTAAAGACTAGTGTGAGTGGGTTCTGCATCTGATGGATGGCCACTGGTAACTAAACACTGCCAAGAAAGTTCAATATTTGTGCTATGATTGGATGTTGACTATACTGGGACCCAGAGGTTGCCCAGAACTATACAAATGCTAACCTCAGTGAAGGGTCTCTCGAGCTGGAAAACTGTAGGTGTGTTCTCATGAGTCTAGGAACTTTCAAATTTGAGAACTACTCAACAGCAAGTTTATTCCTGGAGACAGTCAACTCAAATTCCAGTTGCTATCATGAATGTGACCGATACCTACAAATTCTAACTGCCAGCAAGACAGCATGGAAGGAGGGGTTCCAGCTGCCTGCCACCCATAATCTGACATAGAATGGTTACCCTGGGCATGGAAGATGAAAGCACAGCTGTGAAAATGCGAAAGACATCCCTTTGTAGGCTTTTAATTAAAAACCCTACAGAGTATTTTTGAGACAGGCCCTCATTAAGCCAAGACTAACCTCAAACTCGCGATGCAGCTAAGAATAGCTTTAAAGTTGTGATCCTCCTGCCTCTCCCTCCCCAGGACTGGGATTATAGATATGTGTCACTCTACCTTGCTAGAGAAGCCTACTAATTTCCTTGCTATACAAGCAAGAGGGCCTGAGCTCAGGTTGCCAGCGCCCATGTAAAAAGCCAGGCATGGATGCCGGTGCCCATGATCCCAACACTGGGGGTGGGGGTGGGGGGCTCGGGAGGAAGATCCTGAGAACTTGCTGGCCATCCAGACTAGTCAAAACAGCAAGTTCCCAGTTCAGTGAGTGTGGGGGCCCACAGAGGTTCCCTAGTAAGGCCTTACTCAAGGTCAGAAAGTCTGAGCTTGCTTTGCCCAGCAGGGCTGCGTAATGGGATGATTTTGGCCAAGGGTGTGGTGAGCAGGTGTTTTGAAGGGTCTACACTTGGCTGTATGTTGTGCTTGGATCTTGAAAGGGGGAGTTTTTTTTTTGCCTCTCCCTGGATAGTGTATAAAAAGCCCATTAGAATAAAACTAGAGGGGACTGGGTATTGACCCAAGGCCCTCCCAAAACTGTCGTGTGTCTCTGTCTTTCTCTCCGACTCCATCTATATTTTTAATACTTCCTTATTCCTCTCTCCTCCCCGCAAGAACCCTTCAACAGGTCGGAGCTGGTCTCCTACAAGTGAGAGACTCTGTCTTAGAACAATAAAGAGTTGAGCAATAAGGGAAGGAAAAGGCACTTAGCATTGTGCTCTGGGCTCCCCAGGAGTAAGTACCTTCACACTCAATACATTTATCACACACATATAAGATCTACACACACACACACACACACACACCACAAACAACATACAAAAAAGCAAAAATATAAAAAGTGTAAAATTTATTTTATTTTTTTTAATTAACAAATTTTAACTATTTTTTATTTTATTTTATTTTACAATACAATTCAGTTCTACATATCAGCCACGGATTCTCTTGTTCTCCCCCCTCCCGCCCCCCTCCCCTTCCCCCTAGCACACCCCCTATTCCCACCTCCTCCAGGGCAAAGCCTCCCCCGAGGACTGAGATCAACCTGGTAGACTCAGTCCAGGCAGGTCCAGTCCCC